GACTAAAAAAGTAAATTGAATTCAAGTGGAGAGACTCGTCAAAAGAGGAAGATTATTGATAGAATCTCATTCAATACGGTTTGCATTTGCTGGTACAGATTACGACATATAAATTAAAATTGTGAACACAAAAAATATGTTACATGAGATCTATCGGGATGTGTTAACGTGATTCAAAAGGACACTAAGCATACTTTTTACGATTTACTAGAAGATTTTCATGACGACAATGAGAGGTTATATATTGTAGGTGCAAATACAATTACCATTGAAAAATTAAAAATATCTCCAGGCTGAAGCGTGGATATCTCGCTCTTTTTATGGAGATTCAAACCCACTACAACAAAATCTTCACTGCTACAACAATAATCCTCTTGACTTCACCCCAAGATATAATTACGTCGTATGATCGAATAAACACTAAACAAGTTTTTGAGTCCAAAGCTCTACCAAGATGAACACCTTCCTTCAACAAATTAAAACTCTCTTTTTCTTTCCGGTTTTCAAAACATTAACCTCATTTCTTTGAGCACTCTATTAGCTTTTTTACATACCACACTATTGAAGAGAGACTCCTATTTATAAGTCTAAGAACTTTTCCTTGGATTAAATTGAAAGAAAAGTGGGGTAATAAGTTATAAAATCATGGAGAATATGGAATAGTGGATATATTAGTATGTAATTATTGATAGACCATTGGAAAGTAGTTATAAAAGAGTTATAGCCATTGTCTACATCATGGATTAGTGGAGAGTTGTGGTCATTTTCAAGATCATATGGAAAATAAGAAGAGATTATGGCATATTTTATTTTACTATTAAAATGCTAATATTCTAACAAATATTCCTAACAAATGTATAGCAATGTGCTCTCACAGTATGTTGGTCGTACTGCCTATTTATCATTGCTCTCATGAACATTTCTAAGGAAATGGAAGAAAAATATATTTTTCCTTAGATTTATGGAGCTTAATGTCATGATCCTAGTTCTCCCTCCGTGAACCGTCGTGATGGCATCTAGTCTCTACGACTAGGTAAGCCTAACATTTGCGAAAAATGAAATGGAAACATAAAAGCTAACAACTAACAGGAAATTTTAAATAAGAAATTAAGATGTCGTTCCGCATATACAATAATCACTCTCGAGATGTACATAAACTCCCACATAACTCGAAATATCGTAAGTCACAGACTACTAGAAAAAAAATATTTCTATACTCCAGAGTCTAACAAAAGGAAATACAAGAAGTGTTTGACATGGGAAGAGTAGATAGGGACTCCGAGTTCTGCGAACGCGGCAGATATACCTTGAAGTCTCTACAGCTGTCTCGTCTCACTGATAATGCGGCTAATAAGCGATACCTGTATTTGTACACGAAAAACATATGCAAGGAAGGGCATGAGTACACCACAACGGTACCCAGTAAATGCCAAGCCTAACCTCGGTCGAGTAGTGACGAGGTCAGGTCAGGCCCTACTGTATATATATATAATAAAGCAAGGCAGAATAAATACGACAGTAAAATAAAGACTAAAATTTAACAGAATAAAATCACAGAAGGTAGTAGCTCAGTACAAAGAGATAACAACAGGGGATCTCCCGAGATACCGTCTCGTAGTCCCAAACGTAAATGTGTAAGGGGATTTCCTGGAATACCGTTCCATAGTCCCAAATTAAATATGCAGTGCAGGGGGGATCTCTCAGAATACCGCTTCATAGTCCCAAAGTAAATATGCAGTATAGGGGGATCTCCCGGAATACCGTTCCGTAGTCGCAAAGTAAATATGCGGCTCAAATAGTAGAAATACAACTACAACACGAAATCCTACAATTTAGACTAAGTACAAGTCAAGGAAGAAGCAGGAAATTCACTAAGCATGCTACACAGAGTTCAAATAAGGAATTAAGATACGTGGACATGTTGTACTAAACTAAATAGGATAATTACATATGCTAGTGTAGTTCAGTTAAAAGGAAACACGTACTTTTACTTAATGAAAACGGAGTTTTTGCAACAAATAGCCCGTGTACGCACTCGTCACCTCACGTACACGACGCTCATATATCAAAAACAGTACCAAATCCTAAGGGGAGTTCCCCCACACAAGGTTAGGCAAGACACTTACCTCGAACCAAGCTCAAATCAATCTGTCACAATGCCTTTCCCACGAATATCCGGGTCCGAGAGGCCCAAATCCCAAAGCTTTGCCTGAAAATCCCTCGAAGAATCGCCAATTTCCGAGCTCTCAAGTCCAAAAAATGAAGAGTGAATTCAGACCCTCGTACTTAGCCCTTTTTCTGTCAAAGATTTCTCTGCTGCAAGCCTTCAACTGCATCTGCGGTCTCGCACCTGCGGAAGATCTATCGCAGGTGCGAAGGCAACTTAAATGGGCTGGGACCTCATTTGCGAGCACTGGGCCGCACCTGCATGCCCGCTCCTGCGGTCCTCTAACGCTTCTGCGCATCCGCTTATCCGGACAAATCACCGCACCTGCGATCCCAGCTGGACAAGGCCAAATCCGTTTCTGCGGCTCCGCACCTGCGGCCCAAAGAGTGCAGGTGCGATAACACCAGGTTTAACAACTTCAACAGTTTCATAAGTCCAATTTTTCCATCCGTTAAGCACCCGAAACTCACCCGAGGACTCCAGGATCTCAACCAACATACCAACCAATCCTAAAACACCATGCGCACTTAGTCGAGCCCTCAAACCACCTCAAACAACGCTAAAATCACGATTCATACTCTGATTCAAACATAAAGAACTTGAAACTTCCAAATTCGGCAACCGATGCCGAAACCAATCAAACCACGTCCGATTGACCCCAAATTTTGCACACAATTCATAATCAACACTACAGACCAATTCCGACTTTCGGAATCAGAATTCGACCTCGATATCAAAAATTCCACTACCGTTCCAAATCTCCAAAAATTTGACTTTCGCCATTTCAAGCCTAAATGAGTTACGGACCTCCAAAACACAATCCGGACACGCCCCTAAGCCTAAAATCACCCAACGGAGCTAACGAAATTAACTCCATTTCGGTGTCGTCTTCATACAGTTCTGACTACGGTCTAAATCCTAAGGCTTAAACATCCATTTAGGGACTAAGTGTCCCAAACACTTCCAAAAACTAAAACGAAACCTCCTGAAAAGTCACAATAGTAGAAATAGATATGGGGAAAGCAGTTAATAGGGGATCGGAGCTCTAAATCTCAAAACGACCGGCTGGGTTACACTTAAGCACTTACTTATGATTTAAAATTATGGTCCATGATTTGTGATTTACGAGGTGTGGTGCCTCCGGGTAATTCTTGGTTTACACTCATGTGTTGGGAACGATTTGATTATTTGAGCTGTCATTGGTTCATCCTTATTTGAGTTCATTCATATCTCATCGGTGTTCTGATTATGTTGCTTGTCTATTAGCTGCTTACTACTTGCTGCCATTTGCATTTTTATTATTTCGTTGTTGGTTGTGAATCAATAATCTTTCCGTCGTTAGTCATACATTGATGTTGTTTTCATTTTTAGCTTCTTGCATATCTTGTACAAATTTCTATATCTAGTAGGTTTCTTGACCTGGACTCGTCACTACTCTATCGTGGTTAGGCTTGATACTTACTGGGTATCGTTGTGGCGTACTCACGCTACGCTTTTGCACATTTTTTTGCAGATTTAGGTTTTTCTGATCGTGATGTTGAGAGTTGCGATTGTGCAGAGGAGACTTCAAGGTATACCTGCTTGACGCTCGCAGGCCTCAGATTCACCATCTTACTTCCTTATGCTACTGTTAAATTGTAAATCAAAACAGCATAGTATTTAGAAATTTTGGTGTATTTCAGTAGAGCTTATGACTTTGTACTACCGGTTTTGGGAAATGTATAACTATTGGCCGTTGCAGTTATGTATGTCATTTACTAGTTTATGATTTAATGATTAAATAGTTCAATTATGTTATTAACTCAGCAAGTGTTAGGCTTATTTAGTCTTAGAGACTAGGTGCCATCATGACATCCTAAGGTGGGAATATGAGATCGTGACAATAACATGGGAGAGTAGTTACAAAAGAGTTATAGCCATTTTTCACATCATGGAGTAGTGGAGAGTAATGGTTATTTTCAAGATCATGGGGTAATTAAGAAGAGATCGTGACATATTTTATTTTAATATTAAAATGCTAATATTCTAACATATATTCCTAACAAATGTATAGCAATACGCTCTCATAGTATGCTGGTCTCAGTGCCTGTTTATCCAGTCTCAATAATACAAATATATATATATATATATATATATATATATATATATATATATATATATATATATATATATATATATATATATATATATATATATATATTCCTTAGCTTGATGGAGCTTAAGCAACGCCTTATGTGTGAGCGAGAGATGTTAATAAAATATTAGGCTTTTGGGCCTAGTAGTCCCATAAAGGGTGCTAGCTAATTAAAAATTAATATGCCATTATGTCTAACCCTTGGCCCTATAGTGTAGTTTATCTAAATACCACTAGGGTGTTAGGAGTCTCACTTTAGTTCACAAAGAGAACGGCTAGGATTTATTATCAAGTGAGAATCACGCTGTGGAAATAAGGGGAGTCAATCCACTATGTTAGGATTCCCAATGATCAGTAATTCAAGTCGGACTACTGTAGATGTTCCGCTTCTGCTAAGAAAAAAATACGTAAATATCATAATTCGTTTTATTACACGCAAAAACAAATGTAGATTCTTCTTTGAGGTAAGAGTTATGCTCAAATTGAGATAAAAGTTTGTTCTTTTGGTTCTCTTAGATATTGAGTACTCAAACATTCCTTGCTTCGCTACCAAACCACTCCTATCATCATAACTAAAATATTTATGATCAATTTGGACGAGAAACCACAAAAGAGTTTTTGCTTCATGCACAAGATATACTCTTCCTCCTTTCCAAGTCTCATTTCACATTAGTAGATCTGTCTTAGAGGTAATATATAGCTCTTGTTCTTGAGGTTTCTCCACCATATGCACCTTCACTTTTTTCTTTGCCAATATCATTTAACGATTAGTATGGGTCTATCCCTCAAGAAATTTGGTCTGTCTCTTCCTCTATTGAATATACACACATGATTTCTTGTTGCCGTTTCTTTATTCTTTCACGAAGGACCTTTTATAAGTGAAAAGGGAAATAATAAGGCCATTTTGTAATGTTTTATTTTTGTGTTTAATTTGCAGCAAATGATGAGCAGAATGATAATGTTGGTCCGATGATAAATGAACTCTATGAAAGTCATTTTAAGAATACGGAGAACTGGAAATTTGCTCAATTTTGCCGTGTAGTCTGCCTAACAGTCGAGTGAGTAATTTTCCATTTTTAAAATAAATTCTGATGTAATTGACAATAGCCAATGTTCCTTTCAAATTAAATTTATATAAGAATTTTGGACCAGAGAAATGTTTTTTATAATATTTTTGTCTAATTTAAAATTTCTGAGGATTCTTTTCAAAGGACTATTCAAAACTTAGTCGATTAATTTTGACATTGAGAAGGTAACAAGTGAATGTCATTATTAGCTAGGGTTTAGAGTGACTAACAAATGCTATTTGGTATTATTAGCATAAAGCCAAATGTTGGTAAACTCAATTCGCTTACTCATTACTTACTAAATGTGTGGGAGTACTCTATTAGAATATATTATCTTCTAAATCTGTTGTACGAGTGTTCTCATAAAACTGTCATGATTTTAAATTAACTCCGATCATTACTTTATGATTCTGCGTTGAATCATATTATTTAATGTCAAGTATTCCTACTTTTTTAATCTGATTTATTTTAAAGGGAGAAACATAAAAATAAAATAAAAATTAAAAAATAAAAATAAAAATCCGAATCTGTTTTATATCATTGTTTATTTTGGTAGAGATATCAACGAAAAGCTGGGGAGTACACAGTTTAGGGTGCCAAAGATTGAGGAACTCCAGCGACTATACGACGTAAGTATGCAAATGAGAACAATTGATGTTATTGTTTTCTACATTAACGATATGTTTTCAATAGAGATGCAATTCAATTAGGAAATAATGATGTGGATGTGTTTCCATTATGAACCTTTAGTTATTGTAGCATATTTTGTAGAATGAGATTTATTAAGAAAGTTAAAAAAAAATGTAATGTTCTATCACTAAAACTAATACAAAGAGTAGATTAGCTTGTTGCTTTCAAATGCGAAGCATAATTTTCTGGTTAGGAGTAAAAAGACAAGTAAAATATTTTTTTCTATTTTAAATTGTTAGGATAAGTCTTATGACACGCTCTGCTGCATATACACTTATATTTATTTTAAACTTCTTTGTTTTAGTGATTTGAAAAGCTTAAATTTTCATTTGAATAGACAAAAAGAAGGTTGTCATTTGTTCGTTAGAAAACTTTCTATTGTACTTTTTTCGGGGGGAGTCTTCTACTATACTTTCATTTATACTTTTTTCCTTTTCTGCCACTCAATCAAGTTTCTCCATTAATATTTACTTCCTCCGGTCCACAATAAGTGATCAATTTACCTTTTTATTTTTGTCCAAAATAAGTATCAATTTATATAATCAAGTAAAAATTCAATTTGCTTTTCCAAAATTACCCTTATGTACCTATCCCTAAAAAATCTTTTACTCCTCACATTAAATTATGCTGCAACATTTAATTAAGAATAGTTTAGTCACACTAACTATTTTTGTCTATAATTTAGTATTTTCTTAATGGTGTGCCCAAGGTAAATTGGTCACTTATTGTGGACCGCAGGGAGTAGTAATTACCCATTGCAACTTAACACTATGTTTGGATCATTATTATCCATCGTATTGTACTGTATTGTATTATATTGTATTGTATTGTATCGTTTTTGGATATAACGTTTGGATAGATTGTATCGTTTGTTGTTGTTAAAATAACATTTTGTTGTTTGTTTTGACTATATCGTACTGTACTTTAACTGATAAGTTCACTAAAATACCCCCAATTGTTTTAAATAAAATTTATTAAGAATTACACGTAAAAATAATTTAAGACAACCTCTCTCTAATAATTTACGATTAATTACGTAGCTAGAAAACAAGAGCAAAACCTGGAAAAAAGGTTAACTAATATTAGCAACAAAAAAATTAAAAATGATGGAAAGAGACAAGAATTGAACGGAGACTTGGATTAAAAGAACGGGGCAAATCAACTCTAGAAAAGATGGAAGAAGACAAAGTATGTCAATAGGTTGGAGATTTGGAGTTAAAATAAAATAAAAATTAAATAATAAAATAGAATTATAGAGTATAAGTAAGGGTCCCACCACATCAAATCGGTTGTTTCATAAAATGGGGCTTTTGGTTATTCCGGAGCAATAAATTTAACAATACGATACAACCAGTTTTAAATAAACAATCAAAACAAACATTGTATTGTGATTACAGTACAATACAATACAAAGGGTAACAACCATCCAAACAAGCTCTAAATGTTAGTTTGTACTGTCTTCTACTGTTCGTTTCGTTTAATTACAGAGTTAGAATATATATCAGGTAAATATGTTAACATGGACTTTCACAATATTGGATAAAGACGTATGGGAGAATTATATTCATTAATCGTTAAACATTGGGAAATTAATATAAAAAATAGCTTTACTACTCCTCAAGGTCAATCTAGAGAAAACGTAGCTTGTCTTTTCTTTATTTTTTATTTTTTATTTTTTATTTTTGAATTATTAAACCCCACATTTATTTGACTGTAAAGTATTGCACTAATAGAAACTCAGAGCATTTTTCATTTCAATTTTACAGAAATATCTCATAAACAAAGGATCAAAATCGTTGACACCGGAAGAGTATCAGAACATGCTTAAAGAAATCATTCTTGATACAAAAGTTACCGGCTCTGGAGCCAAAGACGTATTGTTGTACTTGTTTGGAGTTCCTGTCACTGCTTTATTCATTAAGCAAAGCTTTATTCCACAAGCCATTCCTAATGAGATCTTTATTCCTGGCATCACTTCTGCAACTGTTTTTCTTCTAGCCAAACTCCACAAGATTTAGAACGTCTCTTATAGAACTTGTGAAAATCTCCACTTCTGTACTTGGTTTCTATTCAATTTCTGATTTATTTCTTATTTCCGTCGTGTATGTTTTAAACACGATCATATCAAAATTGTGAAATATGCTTATTTAAATCTATTGATCACCATTTACTTTTAATAACGTAGTCTTGGGACACTATTGCATACAGCAGAATACAATCTTAATCGTGGTCTAATCTTGTAATCCGGCCCTTTGTATTCCAATTTGAGACATCTAAGAATTTCATATGGATGAATACTCATGTAGATATTGGTATTAATAGGAGAACGTTGGGATCATTAATTAAAACTAATAATATTTTCTGCTTTTGAAGTCAGATCATGGATATATATTTGTTAAATCTATGTTACGTAGAAGATTAACATTAAGATAATTCTAGTCGGTAATGATCCAACCGATCGTTTTGAGTTTTAGAACCCCCCACCCCCACCCCCTTACTTTTTTCAGGAAAGCTAAATTCTTTTAGTCTTCCAGGGGGATCGAATCTTAACAAACTGACGTATTGTAATATCAACCCCTCCCCCCTCCCCGTTTTTGACTTCTCATAGGTATTACTTGTGAGTATGGGTGGCACGGGTCCCGATGGACTTGGGGGTATTTTGAAACACTTGAACTCAAATTAGAAGCCTCATGCGAATAGGCTTGATCAATATCAATATTTTGGGTAAATGAGCTGATATTCATGTGTTGAGGGGCTCAAATGCAATTCGACACTGTTGCATAAAAGTTGAAAACCTAACAACACTTAATATTAATTTGAGACTTAATTTTGAATTGTAGTGTTTCCTTTTGAACTATTTAGCCTTTGGGTAAGTTCATGTAGGGTATTTGAACTAGTTGACTTGGTTTGAAGGGGTCCTGGAAGGAGGGGAAGGGGGAGGGTGAGTTTTGGGATAGTCTGAGGTGGTTTTGGAGTCACAAAGACCATCAAAAACTGCACAAGTTGCAGAGACTCGCGACATATGGCTCGCAACGCAAGGAGCAGGGCGATGACCCTGAGGCAGAACCATAAGACTCGACCGGTTATTTTGAGCTTTAGCATTTTGTTCGACGGGTTGAGACCTTGAGTAGTTTCATATGATACATTATGACTTGTGTGTATGATTGATTTTGCTTTTGAGAGGTTCAGAGATGATTCAGAAGAGTAATTCACAATTCGGATATTTTAAGTTGGAAGAGTTGACCAAAGTTAGACTTTTGAGTAAATGGCCTTGAAGTCGAGATATGATAGTTTCAACAGGTTCGTGTGATTATTTTGGACTAGGGCGCATGTAACGACCCGATAAAATTGTATGATGATTTTGGACTTGTGCCTATGTTTGGTTGGGGTCCGAGTGACCCAAGGCCTTTTTGGCGCTTAATGTGAAAAGTTTAAATTTGAAGTTATGAAGTTTTAAATCTTTGTGTTTTGATGCTTGATTTTTTTGTTGTAGATGTTATTTTGATGTTTTGTGCTTATGAATGAGCTCGTATGATATTATTGTACTTAAGTGGATGTTTAGATTGGATCCCAAGGGGCTCAGGCGAGTTTAATGGGCTCCGAACTTATTTTGTAAGAATTGATCGTGCTAGTGCTGCAGACATCACAATTGTGATGGTCTGTGACCATTGCATTAACGAGAAATTGCTCGCATTTGTGATACTGGGGTTGTTGGGGCAGCTTCGCATTTGCAAAGCTCAGTTCGCATTTGCGATGTGTCATCCGTCGCATTTGCAAAATTTTCTGTCGCATTAGCGACTGCCGCAATTGTGATGCTTATGTCGGAATTGCAAGATCTGAGGCTCAAGGGTTGGTTCACATTTGCAATCAGCTGTTCGCTTTTGCATACATCGCAATTGCGATACCTGCAGTTGGATAAAAACAAGGGTTTTCAGATTTAGCTCATTTTATTCCATCTTTGAGACATAGACTCTAAATAGAGGCAATTCTGGAAAGCAATTTCTTCCTAACTTCATATGTTAGTAATTTTAACTTGTTTTTATTTAATTGCAATTACATTTTTGTAGATTTTCACTACTAAATCTAAGATTTCATAAAGTAGAAATAGAATTTTTGGATAGGAATTTAGAATTTTGTGTTTTAAAGATGTAGACATCGATTTGAGGTCGGATCTTGAAAAAAAATTATATCTTTGGACTTTGGGATGAATGGTTAATTGGGATTTGGTCTTAGATTCAAATTTTTTTCACGTGGGCCCGGATTGACTTTTGTTGACTTTTCTAAATATAAAGATTCTTTTTGGTACTAGGATAGTTCCTAAATCTTGTTTTGATTGGTTTGAGTCATATTTGATAAGATATGGGTGGTTTGGAGGCTTGTTTTAAAGGAAAAGCTATGTTGGATTGTAGAATTATGCCGGAAAGAGGTAACCGTCTTTGTTAACCTTGATTTGAAGGAATTTTTATGTAATTGTGTCTAATTTCTATGTATTCAATGGGTTGGGGGTGGCATATATGCAAGGGGACGAGTGTATATGCGTTTTCCATGAGTTAAATATGTGGGTAAAACTAGTTTTTGTTGATGCATGTTGCTTTATGTATTATATCCATGCTCTAAAAAGTTTGTGAAATTATTTAATTTTTCTTATTCATGTTAATAGTTATATTGAGTTTGTTGAGATATTGGACGTTAAGATTATTGAAATACTTATTTGTCTATTGGTGCAAAAGTGATGGTAAATTTTCATATGGCGAGTTACGTTCAATTAGTCTTGTTGATGTTGTTTGTGTTTCCCACCATGCTTAATACTGTATTACATGTGATGCTTGGGGGGGTGGGGGGAGTAAATTGCATGAAGGTTACTTTCGTATGTGTGAGGAAAAGTGATTCTGCATGAAGGGTGTTCCGTGCTTTCCTTCTGTATATTGATATCATTGCACGAAGTATGTTACCGTGCTTGAGAGGGAGTGCGAATATGCACGAGGGGTGTTTTTGTGCTTGCTATTATGGTTTGCTTATGAGGTTGAGAGTAAAGGCATGAAGGGTGATACTGTGCAATTATTTTGATATCTCTCATTCCTTATTTTCTATATTGACCGAGGTTTTGTCTATGTTGTCTCGTGGTTATTCTTTTGAAATGCTAGTTGGAGTTGCTTGTGGAAATATGAAACTGTGGTTCCATAGTCATTTCTTCATTTATCGTCTCGTTCTTTATCTCCATTCATTTATACATGTTATCTATCTCATGTTCTTTATCTTTTCATCTTACTTTTTAATTTGTTCGTCTTGCTGTTGCTATATCTCTCGTTATTTTCTTGTTACTTAACTGTAAAAGTTTATAAGTAGGTGTCTTGTCTTAGCCTCGTCACTTCCTCGTCGTAGTTTCGCTCGTATTTACGAAGTATATTAGGTCAGTTGTGCTCATACTATACTTTTACACTTCTTGTGTAAATTTTAGTGCAGATCCTAGTAGCATCTAGTGACGGGCATATCTTGGTGACCAGAGAGACTCGAGGTAGTGCTGTTTTTTGTCTACAGCCTCCGGAGTCACCTTCGCTCTAGTTATTGTTGTTTCCTTGTATCAGACAGTGTTGCATTTCTTTCAGACCTTATATGTATCATTCTCAGTAGCCCATGTACTCTATAGCACCAAATCTTGGGCGGTTCTGTATACAGTATATGGTTTAGACTTATTTGCATATTTTTGAGATTTACTATTATTCCATATTATTTTGATGTTATCTGATAAACTAGTTCCTCGTTAAGTGTGGGCTTGCCTAGCGAGTAGTGTTAGGCACCATCACGACCCCACTGGTTAGGATTTTGGGTCTTGACCAGTTGGTATCAGAGCACTAGGTTGCATATTTTTCATGAGTCATTAGCAAGCTTGGGATAGTCTAGAGGATCGGTACGGAGACATCTATACTCGTCTTCTAGATTCTATAAGGCTTTAGGAAACTTCACTTTATTTCTTTCTCTATCTGGCAACTTTGTCTGTAGCTAAGCAGGATCCAGAGCCCCAGATTGCAGCCACTACTAAGGGTAGGGGATGGGACAAAGGTAGAGGCAAAGGTATAGAGTTCAGCCTAGAGCACGCGCAATGGCACCTATGGTCGAGCCCTAGATAGCTTAGGATGACGAAATTCCAATTCAGGTTAAGCCAATAGGACCGGCTAAGGTCTCAGAAGTGTTCATTCATACCTTAGTGCTTTAAGACACCTTGGTATGTATGGTGAGGTTCATAGGGAGCATGGCTTACGCCGGTGTGTTTCCCATGGCACCAACCGATTCTCTGGCCGGGGGAGGAGTTCAGACTCCCGCTACTCATATCCCAGAGTAGATAGCCCAAGGTTATCAGACCCCAAGAACTCTACCAATTGGCTGGTTCGGCTTATTGTTGTCGCACAACCTAGGGATTAACCCGCAATGTAAGATGATGAACTGGAGAGATTGGAAAAGTTCGCAAAGTTGCATCCCCCTCACTTTAGTGGTGCACCTTCAGAGGATGCCCAGGACTTCTTGGACCATTTCCAAGAGATTTTGCGCAACCGTGGACTAGTTGAGTCCAATGGAGTTGACTTTACCGCCTTTCAGATGTATGGCTCGACCAAGAGATGGTGGTAGGTTTATGAATTTGGCAGGCCAACATGATCGCCTCCACTTACAGGGGTCGAGTTTTTGCAGTTGTTCTTTGAGATGTTTATTCCCCTCACTCAAGAGACGAGCTATGCAGCCGTTTGAGGTTTTCAACAGGGTAGCATGACCTTTACCCAGTATGAGACCAGATTTGTTGATTTTTCTCCCCACACAGCTATCCTAATCCCTACCGAGAAGGAGAAGGTGAGGAGGTTCATAGAGGGTCTTACATATGGCATCAGATTTTAGATAGCCAGAGAGGCCGAGAGCAAGACATTTTCACTCAGGTAGTGGAGATTGTTAGGAGGATCCAACGCGTTAGAGGCCAGATGAGAGAGACGACCTCTAACAAGAGGCCCCGTTAGTTTTGTTTTAGCGGTGCTTCATTTGAGGCAGGGGCTCTTTTGGTAGAGGTCATGCTATTAGACCAGTGCAGTCAGGGATCTAAGTCTCTCATGGTACTTCAGGAAGCCATAGTGCTTATGGACCTCGTTCAGAGCAGCTAGCATACACTACAGCTCCAGCTCCTGTTAGTGAACCTCTG